CCCCGCCTCTCCAGGGTGCTGCAGCTGATGAACCTGACGGACTCTCGTCTGGCACAGGCTGGCAATGAGAAGCTGGAGCTTGCCATGCTGAGCTTCTTCGAGCAGTTCCGGAAGATCTATATCGGAGATCAGGTGCAGAAGTCTTCCAAGGTAATCAGTCCCCTTGGCTATGTCTCTTTGGCCATACGATGTCGAGTAATAGCTTCCCTTTTAAAATGAAAGCAAGTGACATTACCTGTTTTCTTTTCCTTATAGCTGAAAATATTTGAGACCTGTCTGCTGTGTTTTCTAGATACACATCCAGTGTTAACGCTGGAAACCCTGAGGTGGTTTTGGAATACCATGTTCTGTATGCATCAGGAGGGAGACAGTGACTGTGACAGTAGCCTAGAACTTGAGACCTGGGTTCTGGTTTGTTACCTGCCAGGTTTCTGCTGTGACTTGATACGAGTCCCTTAAGCCCGTACCCCTGGGAAAGGGTCACACTGCCTCAGACACCCGTGAGGAGCCTGACCTTAGCATCTGTGCCTTGCTTCCTCAGCTCTAAAGTGATGATAAACATCTGTTCTCTTCATTGCAAGGCAATTGTAGGTGTACTGGACTTTGAATGCCTTGGTGCATCTTTAGAGATGCAAAATACCTTTTTTAAATAAGAAAAAAAATATATAAAGAATGAGAACATCATTACTCTAGAATTAGATTCTCTTCCTTGCCAGTAACCTGTGACCTTCCTTCCCCATCTCACAGACTTTGCAGCAGTGATGTGACAAGGGGCTTAGAGTTCCAAACGAATTCACTAAGACACTGCGTGTAGGTGCAGATGGAGGAGCACGGATGTTTATCCCCTTTCCCTAGGAAAACCAAGTGCTCTGGCTTCTGAGTGCAGTATCTGAACCCGCTAAGACTAGTGATAGAAAAGAGGTAGCAGTGATTAGGGCTAAAGTGTTGGTGTGGATCAGACCACAAGCGTCTCTGACTGATCTGGGAAAGCCCAGAGCATACACCCTCCCAGGCGCGTGTGCCGCAAAGGGAGAACAAGTGGAAAAACAAATTATCTTGGATCGTTACTTGACAGCTTGTAAATTGGTGTTATTTTTTCCCCTCCAGCTGTACCGCCGTCTCTCGGAGGTCCTGGGGTTGAATGATGAGACCATGGTCCTGAGCGTCTTCATAGGAAAAATGTAAGTGTTCCTGCTTGCAGGCAACAGAGATTCCAGGGTTTATTTGAAGGTGTAACCAGGAAAACTGGAATATGAGGGAGTGTTTTTCAGTCTAAAGCTAGTAACATCTGGCAACTCGAGAGAATTGCAGCTTTTATCAGGGCTTAAGTCACTCGCAATATCCAGGATTGATTTATCCACCGTGGATTCTAGGCTGGGCTATGGAGACACAAAAATAAGCTGTACACCAGGATAATGGATTCTCTTCCCAGTGCCTGCTTAGCAAAACCAAAGTCAGAGAGAGGTCAGCCTCAAGCACTCGTGCCCCGTCACTTGACTATTGGCAATCACCAGCCACGAAAGCTCGATGGGGAGGGGACTGCTCCTCCAAAGGTTTTCTCTGCAAATTGTGCTGTTCAGTACCAGAGTAGCGCAAGTCTTTTTCTTAAAATTCTTCCGCTCCGGTAGGCACACTGTTCAGCCTGTTCCTTGGCAGCTCTCCTCTGGACCGAACCTGTCGACTGGCTTTTTTGTCGTGTCTTTGGCACCCTCCGTGAGCGTTTCAAACCAATTCAGTAGCTCCAGTGCTGACGCCCAGTGCCGCGCGCCTGGCGACGCGCAGCCGCTAGCCTCCCCCTCCACTTCTTCAGCATCGCCCCCATCTTTACGTGCCTGGGGCCTTGCATGCGCCCCGGCTGCGCATCATCCCCAAGGGGTGAAGTGGCTCTCCTGGAAGAAGCAAGGGCTACTAGAATTCTGCAGCTGACAGTGGATGGTGCAGGTGCAGAATTGCATACGTCTGCATGTAGTCACTGCCGCAGAATTCTCTTACCCTTGCTGCAGAAACCAGCCCTGGAGTGCCACAGAATTCCAAGGGCCTGGGTATGGGCCAGTGTAGCTTGGGACCCAAGTAGTGAAGATTATCTGAAGGATAATTTTCTAGTCAACCAAATGTAAGTACAGTAATTTTATACCAATATTTTGTGGCTTGTGATGTCTGTGGTTTCGGTGGAGGGTGGAGCTGATGATGTTGGGTGACTTTTGAACTGGAAGAACCCGCCGCACAGCAAAGGGGACGCTGAGCAAACCCCTCTGATCTGTCCTTGTTGTCCTCTTCCCTAGCATCACCAACTTGAAGTACTGGGGTCGATGCGAGCCTATCACCTCCAAGACGCTGCAGCTGCTCAATGACCTCTCCATTGGATATCCTTTTCAGAAGAGCTGTCGGGTGCGCAGGACACTTAAACCTCGAGGAGGGGGAAGAGCGACCCACATCCTCGGCTGGAACAGGAGCACTCTGCGTCTAACAGATTCCTGAACCACTTCACCTTTTGGGTAGTGAGAAGAGCAGAGAGCGAGTGCTTGCTCAACGTTTTACCCCACTGTTGTTGCATTGCAGTGGATGGCTGGAATATTGTAGTGGGGGGTTTTATTTTGGATCATAATTGCTTTGTAGCTTACCATCCACAGGTAATCTGTTTACAGTCTTCTACTTGTTCTTCCTGACAGAGTAAATAAAAATGGTGGCTGCAGGTCTCTACAGTAGAGATTTATGCAGCGTGATTGCTCTTGAAACATGGAAAAGAGGCTAGAACATATTGAATAATATAGATATAAGTTTCCTTCCAGTTTTGCCCTGGAAAATGCTTTGCAAGCATTGCAAGAAGTTTTCTGCTGACTCTGCTGCTTCCTTAACACCCCCTTTACGTACAGTAGTGTTAGAAAGCTGGTGAAGCTGAGCGCCGTACAGTTCATGCTGAACAATCACACGGTGAGTCCTTTCACCTTCTGCTTCTCATCTCGCAGCAAACTCCTCCGTCTGCCTTTGTACAGCTGAGATAATCCCTTAATTTTAACACCTGGACACACTTTTCAAGTTTACCTGTCTCCCAGGTGCTTCCATCGTACTAGATGAGCCTCTGGAAAATGCAGTCTGTGTTCCATCTCCCTTTGCTCAAAGCCTGCCCTTCAGTTTTGAGGGGCTGTAATCATGTGGTACCTTGCATCCCCGAAGGGTTAATGTAGGGGTCTCTACTCTCTGCTGAAAGACAGCCATCTCCAGAGCGAAATGCAGGAGACAGCTGATACTGCTGCACATGCAGGCAGACAGCAGTGAGCACTGTTTATGCAATTTAAAGCAAAACATGACATCATTTTAATGCCTCAGCTTTCGTTCTGAAAGTGCTGATCACTTGCAGTGGTCAGGATAGCAACCTTGTTCCTTGGTCAGTACCGGCACGGTACTGCCTGTGTGGGTCTGGGATGCTAACTTGAAATCAAAAACGTCAGAATGAGATGAGCAACTAGCAGCCAGCCCCAGAGCATCACGTTTCTGACGCGCACCTGGGAGCGTGCAGTCATTTGATGCTCCGATGCCGTAGCGATAGCACTCCCAGCACCACGTCCAGAAGGTTTGCCTTGACCAGTTGAATGAGGTGCTCTATTCCTCGAGCTTGGGGTTATTTTGCAGACAGTCCCATGTCCTGTGTTTGGCCCAGAAGCCGCATTCCAGCTGCATTGTCTGGGCCTACTGTTCTCATGCAGAACACAGGCAGAGGAACTGGGGATCTGTCTGCGGAGGGCTGTTTTTTAGCAGCCTTAATGCCTGGAGGGTCCCGATGAGTAAGGGGAGCAGATTGCTTCACTGCTCTGGAGTCAAAGCAGGACTTCCTTGTTCATCTGGTCCTGGGGAATTCCAAGACGAAAGATGATAGCGCTGGTATCTTCACCAGTAGGTAGGATGCTGCTCCAGAGCGAGCAGGCGCGGTCCCTGTTGCCCTCTGGTGGCCTGTTCTCCGAGATGGCTGGCAGATGTGACCTGGTTAGCAAGATAACCGTGCAGCTCGCTGCTTCTCATCCTTGCACAGGCTGAGAATCATACAGGGGAGCAAGGGATCCTCTGCCCTTGATACAAGAGCCCGTTCAAGGTTGTGGTTCCCCTTTAACCCATCTCTTCTCTTCCATTTGCAGAGTGAGCACTTTTCCTTCCTGGGCATTAACAATCAGTCCAACCTGACTGACATGAGATGTCGGACTACGTTCTACACTGCACTTGGGCGTCTTCTCATGGTGGATTTAGGTACTTGGATCTTTTCCTGGGAGCCAGAGCAAAATTCTGGGGTTTGAATGCTGGGCTCTGCAGTATGCTCTATCCTGCTGTTTAGGGAAGCATCCTGCAGGAAAGGATGCTGGAATAGGAGAAGCCAAATGGAATAAGAAAAAGGAGGGGAAAGGAGCTCAAGAGTGAGTTTGATGCCATGTTGCTGGGTGCAGGTAGTCCAGAGGTGCTCACTACCAAGGCTGGGGATGTATTTTTCCTTCATAATATTCAAAATTCTTTCCTGAGGTGGCAGGATTTGTTCTAAGTCTTTTCTCCAAGTTGGATATTGGCAGTGATAGATCACCTGTCTGGAAACCTGTGGTCTCTCTGCCTCTAGCTCCGTGGGTGAGCAATGTCTGAATGTCTGGCGCAGGCAGGGTGCAAGGATGTGCAGTCTATTTCCTTCTAATTTTTTGTATTTTTTTCTTTCAGGGGAAGATGAGGATCAGTATGAGCAGTTCATGCTTCCCCTCACAGCTGCCTTTGAGACCGTGGCGCAGATGTTCAGCACGAATACTTTCAATGAGCAAGAGGCAAAAGTAAGTTGGGGAGGACCTTCCCTGTTATCCGTGCTCTCCCTACTCTTTTTATTAGGGGCTTTGATGTTTTCAGGTCAGACAGACAGGAGAGAACAAGTAACTCCTGCAGAGCGAGAGCTGTTCAGCCCTCTGAACGAGACAAGTAGATGCTGGAGTGATGGGTGCTTTCCTTTCAGTATGTGGGCAAGCGGTGCTGTGCCTTGTGTCCCTTGGGATCTAGGTGTAGTTCACCATGGAAGCAGTGAGCCTCATCTGCTGGGAATGAAACACCCCAGGGCTGTCACTGCACTGGCTCAAATTGAAGAGGGTGGCTCTGGCACTGCAGAGGAAGAGCTGTCTAACCTGGGATGGGCATCCAGCACAGACGGGCTGTGTTGCTGTTGGGATGGGAGGAAGGGAAGTGGCTCTGGGCTGGTGGAGCCAGGGAGGGAGAGTTCTGTACATGTGTTAACGTTTTAACATACCTTTGCTTTTGCAATACAGAGAACTTTGGTTGGTTTGGTGAGAGACTTGAGGGGAATAGCCTTTGCCTTCAATGCCAAGACCAGCTTCATGATGCTGTTTGAGTGGATGTATCCTTCTGTTGCCCTAAAACTCGAGTCATCCTGTCTGTCAGAGGGGAGAACTCTGGCTGACTGCATCCAAATGCCCTATTTTCCCTGCTAAATCCTGACTGGAGTTTCTCTTCACTTTTATAGTACTCAGTGTCCTGTCTGTAACCCCTAAAATAGATTTGACTTGGTCTGTCTGCAACCAGGTCAACCTAGAAATCTGCTCAAAGCTGAACTGTTGGGGTTTTTCCGATTGGACCTAAAGAGATTTGACCTGTAAAGCACAAAGGCCTTTAATGGGATGCTTGTGTCTCAGCAGCAACAAAAGCTTTCCTCTTTTGTCCTCTGGGTGAGAGCATAACTGCTCAAAGAGCACCGTATCTGGGCTCCGGGTTTCTCTTTGGCCAGTGAAGGTCAACTGTCTGTTACGGTGACGGATCTTTGAATCTGTCTTCCCTTTCATTCAAAACCTTTTTGGTTCTGGTTTCTCCTAGCGTAAGTATGTATGGAACTGCTTCAACAGACTTAAGATTATTTTTTTAATTACTATTTCTTTCTGGGATAAAGGAGACCCCAGCAAGCAGCATTTCCATGTAAATTCATTAAGCTCCTTTGCAAGGTTTGGGCGCAGTACACAGAAGTTCTAGCCGTTTTGCTGGAACTTGTGACCTTTCCTCTTCGTGCAAAGCCACCAAGTTCCTTAGCTTTCACCTTGCAGCTACCCATCCTACATGCCAATCCTACAGCGGGCAATTGAACTCTGGTACCATGACCCAGCCTGCACTACACCTGTCCTCAAACTGATGGCTGAGTTGGTACATAATAGGTATGAAGCTCCAGCATCTGCAAGCTGGCTGGGACTTGTGTCTGCTGCTTCAGCCTTTGTGTGGGTGTTGGTGCCCAGTTATGTTTTCTCTACTTCTGTCTATTCAGGCTATAAAGACTGCCAAGGGGGCAGGGGGGAAGCTGGCATGGTTTCGGTGGGGAAGAAAATCTAACAGTTCAGATATCAGTCATGTCGTGGCTCGCTCAGACCAAGAGACACGATCAATAAACACTGAATTTGTTCAGTGTCTGCTTTCCAAGGACAGCACTGTAAGATGGAGGCAGACAACTCATGTTAATTTTTAAAACCTGTTTTTAAAACGAGCGTCGTTCTATCCGGCAGCCAGATGACCACTTTTGCTTTAGAGCATCAGCCCTTTTTGCCAGCAGAGAGGTACCTCTGACGCTGTTGAGATAATTCAGAAGCTCTCTAATCTGGCAGTGGAAGGTTGCCAAGATGTTGCTCTGGCCTACAGCCAGCTGAGCACAACCCTGTAGGAAGGGACACAAGGTTCAGGCGTTTGAGAGTTGACTCTCCGTGCTGTCAGAGACTGTTTGCCGCATCCAAGCGGCATCTTTGCAGTAGGACAATCCTTACTGGAATACGTCCGCTCATTTATTTCAGAGGTGAACTGGGCAACTCGCTGCCCTTCCATTGTAAGATCTATTCACTGTAGGGGAAAAAATGCCAAGCTGTGAATTCTTGGTCGTGGTATGAATAGGAGCTAGTCAGCCTGCCCTACAATGCTGCTTCCAAGATGTTCGCTGTGTTTGTGTGCAGTAGCCTAGTGACTACTGCCAAGACAGGATTTCCAGCCTCGGTCTTGTAGTATTCCTAATGGCTGTGAAATATAGGCTCTTTCTTCTGCGACAGCAGAGCTCCTCTATCCCTAAGTGGCTTTGTCCTGTCTGGCTTTGGTAATGAACAGCAGTATTTTCCCAGAGCAGGGTGTTTTGTTGAACTCTGGGGAGCAGCCCTGGGAGGAGGGTGTCCCAGTACACAGCAGCACATGGAGCTGCTGGAGTATTGGCTTTGTTTTCACTCCCAGATATGTTTGACCTCCAATTTTTTCCCTGCCTTTCCATTAGATCCCAACGGCTACAGTTTGATGTGTCCTCACCAAATGGCATCCTGTAACGAGTAAAATGATAACTACGTATGGTGAGTATCCAGGCGGTAGGATCCGGGCAGCCTCCATCTGCCCTTGACTCCTCCGCTTGCTCGGGGAGTGAGGGCTGGGGCACTTGCCAGCTCAGAGAGTGAGCCCAGGCTGGGAAGCGGTGCCAGATCGCTTGCTGAACGCGTGCTTGGATACAGGGAGATGCTCCTGCTTGAAGTGCTGGGTTAGGCAGGCGAGCAGAAGGGGCAGGGTGTTTGCCGTGCAAATGAGGAAGAAAATGACAGCAGCGAGCAGGAGCCCGGCTGAGCCCCTTGCCAGCATGCAAGGTGACACGGGAAAACCTGGGAAGCAAGCGGAGAGCAATCCTGTCCTTACGCTGTCCTGTTTCCGCAGCAAAATTCCGTGAAGTTGTATTCCTCTGTGGTTCCTAGTAGAGCCACACTTTTAACTTGTAACAGGTTCCTTAATCTTTGGCTGGGGAACAAGCCTTTGGTGCTTGTGGCTGGCTTCTCAGTCACTCTTTATCCCTCTCGTTTTGTTTTTCCTGCATCCTGAGGGAGAAGGGGGTTGGATGTGGCTGCAAAAATACTGAGTCTGCTTCTGTGCTCATGCAGGAAATCGTATCCTAACGCTTGGGGAGGTCCCAAAGGATCAAGTCTATGCCTTGAAGCTCAAGGGGATTTCCATCTGCTTCTCTATGCTGAAGGCTGCGCTGAGCGGGAGCTACGTCAACTTTGGGGTCTTCCGTCTCTACGGGGATGATGCACTGGACAATGCCTTGCAAACTTTTATCAAGCTTCTGCTTTCCATCCCTCACAGTGACCTCCTGGTAAGCCGACACCTGTGATTAGCATGGCTAGGGAAGACAGGGTTGGAATTAAAGGAATACTTTAATCACAGAGACGAGTGAACTTGTGCCACTTCTTGGAACCCAAGCTATAGGCACAGGCCAGGAGGAAACCACAGCTCCTGGAATGTGCAGCAGCAGGTCCTGCGTGAAGGCTGTAACCCCACCACCCAAGGGCCTGCTGGGCAGCCCTGCTGCTCAGCTCTCCAGCAGCATATGGCAGAGCAATTAGCAAAATAATTCCTCCTCTATCTCCTGCAAGTGAAGGATTGTTCTTCCCTGTGTTGCCTGTAGGCAGAGATCTCAGTGCATCAGCAATTACAGAGCAGCCTGCTCGCTGAAGACATGCACCTACAGCACCTTACTCCTATCCAGACCTCGTATACAGAGATACGTTTTGCAGCAGAGCTTTGAGACCCTATCAGCACAGTCCTATTTGGCAAAATATCAAGGAGAGAGGGCAGCATATATTCCTCCCAAGTCTTACCTGTCTTACTACTGTAGCAGGATCTGAAAGAAGTTGTTGCCATCTCCGTGACTACATTCAGCACGTTCTTGATTTAATATACCGATGGCCAAACCATTCCTTTTGAGACACGAAGCCCAAATGCAGCTCTCTGCAGGACTCCCAGCAGAGTACCCCCGAGTCTGGGGGCTGCTGAGGGATCTGTGGCACTGATGGCAGTGCAGGCTGCTGAGCCCAGCGCTGTGGATGTTGATTTTTATGTGATCTGGCACTCTGCATGGACACCTGGAGAGCCGTTCCTATCTGCATCTCCAGCACTGGCATTAGTCAGCCAACACTCCCCGTTTAGAAAAGAGGGAAGCTCAGCCAACACTCCCCGTTTAGAAAAGAGGGATGAAGTTGGGAAAGATGTTTTGATATAACAGCGTTGGGAACCTGCTGCGCTGTTGCTAGAGCCTGTTTGGAAGGCTCTTGGTGGGGGAGAAGGAGGGAAAATAAGTTGGTCCATAAATTATGCGGTGAGAGAGGTTGGTTTGTTCTCTTTCCAGGAGATTCAGTAAGCAGTTTTCAGGTGATTAACGAATGGGTTGGGTCTAGCAGAAGGCCTTAACTGATGGTTACAGGCTAGCCATGAGGCCTTAAAAGTCTTTCTCTCTTGCTCTCTCTGCAGGATTATCCCAAGCTCAGCCAGTCATACTATTCCTTGCTGGAAGTTCTTACCCAGGACCACATGAACTTTATAGCCAGTCTGGAGCCTCATGTAATCATGTATATTCTCTCTTCCATTTCAGAAGGCCTCACTGCACTAGGTAACTACCTCTTTTCTCTGCTGTGCTCTTCAGGCTTTGATTTGGAAGTGGGGAAAGATTGTGCTTGCCGTGAATGCATGGTATTTTGGGCTAACATGAGTCAAGACATACCTTGTGAACGGGTAGAGCTGCACCTCTGTTAAAGCTGGGGCACTAGAGGCAGTGAATGCGTCAGTGAGGAAGTTGCTGACAAGTTTAGGTGGTTCTTGCTTGCAGAATCCCTAAAAGGACCCAGATAAATGGTGGTGTTTCTCTGAGAGCCTGCCTGGTTGCATCTGAGCAAGGGAAATGCTGGCAGTACCCTAATATCTCCCTCTTTCCTGTTCTTGCAGACACCATGGTTTGCACAGGCTGCTGCTCCTGTTTGGACCACATTGTCACCTATCTCTTCAAGCAGCTGTCCCGCAGCACCAAGAAGAGGACCACTCCTCTGACCCAGGAGAGCGACCGCTTCCTGCACATTATGCAGCAGCACCCAGAGATGATTCAGCAGGTAAAGACCGAAGGCGTAGGGCCTTGTTGTGGCACGGCACGCTGAGCTCCCCAGTAAGCCCTGAATTCTCTTAGCATGATGTAATACGAGGGCTGCGTGCTCCGTGCTCTAGAGCCCCGGGCTTTTCCAGAGGAAAAGAGATTTTTTTTTTTTTTTTTTGCTAGTATTGCATCTCTCCTACACATTCATTATATAGTAGGTCTGATTCAAAGCCATGCTTTAGGGCCACAGGTTCCCCCTGTGCAAGGAACACCGTTTTTGCATTTCAGATATGAAAGGAAGCAGGCAAAAATGAACTACTTTTTTTTTTAAAAAAGAGAAATACAGTTATGAGTGGTGCTGGCAGTTCATAGAAATGAAGCCAGGAAGCATACCTTCAACCAGAGAGCGTGCGCTCTTGTGCTGCTGTAAAAAAAAAATCCAAGTTTGTTTAAATCCCTGGAACAATTCAGTGGTGCATGGGCACTCGCCGCAGAGCTGGTGCCGTGGCATCCCCACACCTAACAAAGCTGTGTGTGGATTTTAGGATACAGGAATGATGTCTCTGCTGTGGCACTTGTGTTGGGACCACGTGAAAGTTGGGTTTGCTGCCTGTTGGAGCACGTGCTGCCTTGGCACCGTTCATCCCTGCCTTCAGAACGGCCTCTGCAGGGTGAATTTTGGAACTAGGTGATCTTTGAGGTCCCTTCCAACCCTAACCATTCTATGAGTTGTATAACCAAGGTGTTTTATGTGCTGGTAGCACATCTGCCATCTGTCTCCTGCCTCCATCCGTGTCTGTCAGACACGGAGCTTGCTGGGATTTGTCTTCTCTCTGGGCCAGGAGCGTGTGGCAGAGGATCAATAGTGAGCTGAGACGTTTTCCTTGCTTAGATCAGGCTTAGCTCAGCACATACCTTACACATAGTGCATAGTTTAGGTACCTCTATGTCACTTAATGGCAGACTGTTCTACTCACAGCGGTTTTGGTGCTCCAGAGAGCCCGGTGTTGGGATCCAGATATTCCTACCTTGCAGCAAAACACTTTTATATTCCTCTTACGTGGCCGTGCTGCTTTGAACAGCAGTGCTCAGTGTGGTTCTGACGGTGTTACCCAGCCTCGCTCGCTGGTACTTGTCAAAGTGTCAGCATCACTCCCACGTGAAAGCAGAGAATATTGTTCCCACCCTTGCTGGTACATCAAATTCAAAGAAAAGCAGGCTTTTTGGGGGCTAGAAGCTGTGTTTTCTGAGGATAAAAAGAGAAACTGCATCTTCCCAACCAGCTAGGTTAGATATTGGCTTTAGCCTGTGGAAAGGAACACGGGTATCCCTGGTGTGGGCTAGAGGAAGCTCCCCAGGGCACCACAGCATGTGCTCTCTGCATTACCTTGTTTAAGCGGGGATGAGACAATCTTTCCCTTGGGATGTCTTGGGGCAGGATGGAGTGTGTCCGGAATAAATTACCAGCTTTCAGCACCTCTTCCAGATGCCTTCAGTGAAGTTCTCCACAGGTTCATGGGGCTCCAGGTCGTCTTCTTGTCCCATGGTGCTGGGAGCTCTGTAGCGTTGAGCCTCCAACGCTGGAAGCATCAAACATTGAATCGTGGCTCCTGAGCCCGTGTGGTGCCACAGTGAGGAGAGAGCTGGGATGGAAGGGCTGGTTTTAAACCTGGCTTTCCCTCTTCCAGATGCTGTCGACAGTGCTGAATATCATCATCTTTGAGGACTGCAGGAACCAGTGGTCGATGTCTCGGCCTCTGCTTGGCTTGATACTGCTCAATGAAAAGGTAAACGTCCCACCCTCCCATCGCAGCCGGAACGGTGCCGAAGCCTTCAGGCTGAAGGCAGCAGAAAAGGTGTCAGAGCAGATGGTTGGAAAGTTGGGACGGGAGACATTGTGTGTCGAGGGAAGGGTGTTCAGCCCTTCCCTGCAGCAGCTTTGGCACTAATTAATCCTATTAACTTTCATTTGTAAGGGCGCTAGGGGTCACTTGAAGAGCTGTAACGCGTTTCCTCCCTCTTCCCAAGACCCTGTTACTCACACCCTGTCCCAAAGCCAGTGTGGCTATTCCTGAAAATTAACCTGTCCTTCTCTTGTCTCCCCCAGTATTTCTCTGACTTGAGGAACAGTATAGTGAACAGCCAGCCTCCGGAGAAACAGCAGGCAATGCACCTCTGCTTCGAGAACCTCATGGAAGGCATCGAACGCAACCTCCTAACCAAGAACAGGGACAGGTCAGTATGGACCAGGGACCCCTTGGTGGGGCTGAGCCCGCCCCGAGGCACGCTGACCCTGCAGCTTAGTGCAGAAGCACAAACTGGAGAGCCCGTGGGCCTCGTGGAGAGCAGGACACGGGAGGAATGGGCCACCTCCTGCTCCAACGTGCTGCTCTGCCTTTTCCTTAGGTTTACGCAAAACCTGTCGGCGTTCAGGCGAGAGGTGAACGACTCCATGAAGAACTCCACCTACGGCGTGAACAGCAACGACATGATGAGCTGACGTCTCCCAACTCCACCTGTACAGAGCAGCATCTCTTTGGCCTGGCCCAGAGGGGTTACCGTTTCCGATGGAAAGAAAAGAGGGCGTTTCTAATCCCTGCTCTTCCCCAGGGTTGGATTGCGGCGCTCCATTTGGGCTGTACTCCACGTCCCGAGGGAGGAGGGAACAGGAGGGGGTTGTTGAGCTCACCGGGGCAGGGTGCTTCTGTTTCCGTGGGAGGGGGTGGAAGGGCATGAGCCCGGTGCAAGAATCCAGCGTCTCCCTACCCGAATGTCTGCGTGGAACGCCAGCGCTCTGCTGCAGCCTGCCTTGTATAAACATGTACATTTTTTCATAACATTTTGAACAAGGTTTATATTGACTCAGTTTAAAAAAAGAAAGAAAAAAAAAAAAAACAAAAACAAACAAACAAAAAAAAAGTGTGATTGAAATTTTTACAGAGTCCTGGTGCACCGGTGCTGGCGTGAGGGTTGTGTATGCGAGTGAGGAAAGCGTGTCCCGCAGGCCTGAAGCTTTACTGGGCGAGGGGTGGGTGTGTGAAAGTGCAGAGATTTCACAGGAGGTAAGCAGTAGCTCTAAAGCATCATTAATAGCAACCAGAGGCAAAAAAAAAAAAAAAAAAAAAAGGACAAAAAAAATCGACAAAAAAAAAAAAGCATTGTAAAATTTCAAATGTATATTTTTTCTTATTAAGCCCCTTGAAATCACGACTTCCTGTTACCGTCTTGCCCTTGTTATTAGGAACTCTAAGCCATGCCGCGTG